TTACTAACAATCCGAGATTGGCAACATTGAACAAACAGTCTGAAACTATAACTGATATGAACTTATAACTCTACACTTATAACACTCTCAGATGTGCGAATTCCAAAAGTGCAGTGACGACCAATTTGATCAGATAACATTGTGACGAAAAAGTTGCAACCTTCAGTGAACTGTAATAGACATGGCAACTAAACCACTACCCAACTTCAAGTACCCAGAAATCACTGACGTCACGGTCGGAGAACCCCTATAGACCCTTGTATCTGTAAACTTGGTAATCACTGTGGAATACTGCCGACAGGGAATGTGGATGGACTGAGTGCCTTAGTTACTACAAAGACGGGGGAAAACTGGGGTGGGGGAGAGAGTGTACAGTGTAGAGTTTCTGGTCCTATTCACGTATTTCCCAAACACCGGCATTACCTGGAGAAAATATCCAAAGCATGGACACGAAATATACAGAGCAGAACAGGGCTATACAAATAAGTTTACTGAGGAGACACTCTTTGAAACGTGCATGGATCGTCACGGGCTACAGACTTGGGCCCAAGCACAGAAAGATCATTAAATACAACACAGCTCTGGGAGTGATCCGCGGACCGCTTGCTATATCTCCGCCGGCCAGTATCGACATGTAACCATGTTATCAGGCAGGGACACAGAAAGCGAAGGCAGCGTACGCCCAGACAAGCAAGTGTGTTTATGATCTATCTACAGAAACACCTGACACATTTCAACACACTAGTTGTGTTTAATGCCTTCGCCCAGAGACTTACCCCCCGTACATTTTCCAACCCGTGATTTATGGAGTTCTTTTATCAGAGCAAAATTGAAATCAGTTACCGGTGACATCAGAAGACCGTGCTGTGTTGGTGTGGTACAAGAAGGGCGACTGCCGGCGACTGTGCAAACAAAAAGACTTGACTGGGTCACGCATGGATGATTGCATAAATATTCAAGTGACTGTTCAAGTGCCAGGTAAGTGTATGACTTCATGTGGCAATAGTTTGAATATTTCTGGGATTGTTTTACTACATCAGTAAGTGTTTCATTTATGATAAAAATATAATTATAATTGTGTGAATACCTCACTAAATATATGTACGTGTGCGTGCATGTGTCCGTTTGACTCTCTGTGTGTAGATACACATTAAGGACCATTCTAAAAGCCTTGATGTGTGTTGGCCATGTAGAGGTAGACCTATATTTTGTAGAACAGTCGACTCTCGATGGCTGATGTGGTCAACATGACGCCGGCCACCTTTACTTTCCAATACTATACCTGGCACCCGTTTAAGGCTGGGTCGACCGATCAGCCAAAGGCATGTTTGGAAGAAAGTCCGGCTCGGACGATACTCGAACCCAAGACCTTCCGATCCACAGGCAAGCGTCTAGCCGCAACACTATGGCTATATATATATATATATATATATATATATATGTAAACAATGACAGTAAGTGAGTAGCTATATCAACGTAGGGGTGTACACGAGAGGTTAACGGCTCAAGGCAATGTAAAGCATTCCGGTGATGGTATAGATATTCGCTCAGTGTATAAAAGATTGAGTCAGCATCAATGTTTTAGAAAGTATATATCGGCCCTAGTGTACAAACCCTTCTGTTAGGAAACTGACAACAGGAGCACCGTAGTCTTGATAAAAACCATCGTGCAGTCCAAGTTCCAACCTGTACCATTTAGCTTCACAGTCTGCTACAACAGTCTTTTCCATGCTCAATCTATGAAGATGTCTGCAAGCGGGACATGAATGATACAGGTGGAAAGCGCAAATCATGAAGGGAATGAGACTGAAGGAAGAAATGAATACAGAAATGATGAGAGCCGAGCGTCTGAAAAGAAACGGATTAAACACAAATGTTGTTAACAATGATCCTGAAATCCCATGCTAACATTGTGGAAGACTTTTCTTGACACAGGCGGGTCTTGCTAGTCAAACTCGCCATCGCCATGGGCTGTGAGTCCATACCTCTTTAAAGCGCAAAATAACACTATCGTCGGTAAAGACAGAAAGTTGCCAATCAATCAATCAATCAATCAGTCAGTCAATCTACAGTTACAGTGTTTGAACACACGTTCAGGTGGCAGGTTCTAGGGACTTATCTTAGTGCTTCACACTGAATTTTGTGGTTGTTGTGGTTGTTGGGTGTACGTATGTTTTTTCCCCTTTAAATAACAGCACGATTCAGAATTGTGGTTCGAGTTAATATCTGATATTTCATTAACGTCGTTTTCCATAGATTTCCTCTCGTTAAATAATCAAATTGTTATTTTTTTTAAAAGTATTTTCGTTTACTTCAAGAGCATGTACAGACCTACCATATTGTAGGTGCGTGTCGAACGACTTTGTCACAGACCTACCATGTTGTAGGTGCGTGTCGAACGACTTTGTCACAGACCTACCATGTTGTAGGTGCGTGTCGAACGACTTTGTCACAGACCTATAATGTTGTAGGTGCGTGTCGAACGACTTTGTCACAGACCTACCATGTTGTAGGTGCGTGTCGAACGACTTTGTCACAGACCTACCATGTTGTAGGTGCGTGTCGAACGACTTTGTCACAGACCTAACATGTTGTAGGTGCGTGTCGAACGACTTTGTCACAGACCTACCATGTTGTAGGTGCGTGTCGAACGACTTTGTCACAGACCTACCATGTCGTAGGTGCGTGTCGAACGACTTTGCCACAGACCTACCATGTTGTAGGTGCGTGTCGTACGACTTTGTCACAGATGCAGATGAGATGATTCTTTTCACAAAATTGTACGGGGTTGCCACTTCTAACACTCCTTGCCTGAACCTCACCCCCCCCCCCCCCCCCCGGCATACCCCACAATCTGTTTTTCTGCTATTTTGCCTTTGTTATACACTTTAGGTCATGCCTCTCATGATGTCTGGCATATAAAAGTCGTGAGGAAAAAAGACTTTTTATCTGATTTTGCACCTGTCCTAGCAAAGAGATACAAGACCACGCCTATCTCTACCCCACCTGTTAAAGAAACAGAATTGCCGTTCACTAAATCCAGCTGTCTTGATCAAGTTAAACATAAGTGCGAGTTGACTTACATCGGTTGAACAGAGAGAATTTTTGAACAGAGAGAATTTCTGAACATAGAGTGATAGAACATATACCTAAATATCTTTACACACAACTGGGTGAAGATCCGGTTTAAAGAAATAAAGAATCCACTTCTATAAAACGCCACTTGCTTGGCTGTGTGCACGTAGCTGTAAGGATTTTACCGTTAGAATAATTTACCGCACATTGAATAAACATTTCCTAAAATTGCCGGGGCGTATCAACAAAACTGAGCTTCTCTGTTTATGTAAACAGCAAGAGAATCTTATAAATCTGAAGTCACCACGGTAATCACTTGGCTGATCTCACACTGTGGCTTCCAGGGAAAAGAGAATAGACCCACTGCTTCACCAGCAAGCATGTCTTAAGAGTCGACTAATGGAGTTCGCATTTCGAAATCGGAGTGCACCGGAGTGTGTTCATAACGAATTTACAAAATGTAGTAAAGTAGTGTGTTTACAACTAACTGAGAACATGTAGTAAAGTAGTGTGTTTACAACGAATTGAGAACATGTAGTAAAGTAGTGTGTTTACAACAAATTGAGAACATGTAGTAAAGTAGTGTGTTTACAACAAATTGAGAACATGCAGTAAAGTAGAGTGTTTATAACGAACTGAAAATATGTAGTAAAGTAATGTGTTTACAACTAACTGAGAACATGCAGTAAAGTAGAGTGTTTATAACGAACTGAAAATATGTAGTAAAGTAATGTGTTTACAACAAATTGAGAACATGCAGTAAAGTAGTGTGTTTATAACGAACTGAAAATATGTAGTAAAGTAGTGTGTTTACAACAAATTGAGAACATGTAGTAAAGTAGTGTGTTTACAACAAATTGAGAACATGCAGTAAAGTAGAGTGTTTATAACGAACTGAAAATATGTAGTAAAGTAATGTGTTTACAACTAACTGAGAACATGTAGTAAAGTAGTGTGTTTACAACAAATTGAGAACATGCAGTAAAGTAGAGTGTTTATAACGAACTGAAAATATGTAGTAAAGTAGTGTGTTTACAACAAATTGAGAAAATGTAGTAAAGTAATGTGTTTACAACAAATTGAGAACATGCAGTAAAGTAGAGTGTTTATAACGAACTGAAAATATGTAGTAAAGTAATGTGTTTACAACTAACTGAGAACATGTAGTAAAGTAGAGTGTTGATAACAAATTGAGAACATGTTTTGAAGTAGTGTATTTATAACGAATTATTTAAGCAAATTAAAGAGAAGTTTGACATACGCGCTACCACATGCTTCGGAATTAACTGAAAAAACATGAGCACTTGTGCACTGAATAGTTCGATGAACAATGAGGAAAATCTGCCATCTCACTAACTAATTACTATAGAATGTCTGTCATCTAGGTAACTAATTACTATAGAATGTCTGTCATCTAGGTAACTAATTACTATATAATAATGTTAACAGGTATTTGGATAGAATAATTTAAAACTTATATTGTTATATGAACGTTCAAAATAAATATTGTTGTATAACTATTTAACTCTTTGAGTCCCAAGGAACGCATCATACGTTCATAGGTTACTGTATAGAAGCCCTATGAACACACGATGCGCGGATTTTCCGTCTCTTTTGACTACCCCATGGGCCTGTGATGCTAAACCCTCTGGGAATCAAAGAGTTAATACTGCTAGAAACAAACTGGAGCAGTAGTAACCTGGTAATTTTTGTTTTTCATTTCTGGTCCAGGTACACGTAGACGCAGAGACTACACGTACACGGAGAGACTACGTGTAGACGGAGACTACACGTAGACGGAGAGACTACATGTAGACGGAGACTAGAGAAAGGGGAGAGAGAGAGAGAGAGAGAGAGAGAGAGAGAGAGAGAGAGAGAGAGAGAGAGAGAGAGAGATTATGTTGAGAATCAGAACCAAGTGGCGCATGGGACAACACAGGTGCAAGCTTCTTTGTTTTTTGAGCGCCGTGTGTCTGGGCCTGGTTTACTACAAATTCTCAAAACTCAAATGCCCAGGACACATTCCAGCTTGCAATGTGACATTACAGATATCTGCACGAGCTGACTTGAGGCCTCACTCACACAAGGCGCTAGTATCTGAACAATGGCACAAGTCTGAAGTCTCCAAACATGTCAACGCTTTAGAGGCGCTTTTATTCAAAGGTTCAACGTGTACCGGCAATCAGTCCTACATTAACACTACCCAGTGTTCCAGCTGTCTCCGACCAGGAGTTAGCAAGATTAGATTATTTTACCCTCCGATAGAACCCCCGAAACGTGACAATGGCACGGATTTTGTCAAGCCGGTACCGGAAGTTCTACAAAATCTCATCACCGACTACCTGATAACTCCCAGTCTGGACTGTCCGTACCTTCTAGCTGTCCAAGCTTCAGTGAAGGATCGACCTCATGAGAGAGATCTTGTTCGGAGAACTTGGGGCAGTGTTGCAGAAACTCAGACCTGGCCTAACAGGAGAATCAATGCTAAACTAAAGGTCTTGTTTGTTGTAGCAAATAAAAGAAGCAGTGAGCCGGAGCCTCAGCACAATCGTACAGCACAGTTCGTGGAGCTACTGTCAGAAGCTCTGATCCATAACGACATTCTCTACATTAACATGGATGACAGTTACCAAAATCTGACGCTAAAACTGTTGTCAGCCTTCAGATGGGTCAAGGACAACTGTCCGTGTGTCAAATTCGTGTTAAAGGTTGACTTTGACACGTTTGTCAACGTCCCTCTTCTGATAGACACATTGTTGCTGCACCAGGACCAGTTGGAGTCTTCACTTCTAGGGATGGTGTACAGAGCCGACATTGCGGTGCGAAGAACAGGAAAATGGGGAGTGCCCAAGTCGTTGTACCCTATGAACTATTACCCTCAATATGCATCAGGTATTGGCTTTGTTCTCAGCTAGCCTTTGGTTTGTGCTTGTGAACATTAGTCAAACATGCTCTCTCTGCTGGTCTTTTCGCCACGGTGTGTGTGTTTGTGTGTGTGTGTGTGTGTGTGTGTGTGAGAGAGAGAGAGAGAGAGAGAGAGAGAGAGAGAGCCTGCGCGCGCATATCTGTGTTTGGTTCCCTCTTAGTCCAGTGGTAGCCGTTGTGGTGTAACGGCTAGACGCTTGCCTGCAGATCAGAAGGTGTGAGTTCAGGTCCTGGAGTAGTCTGGACTTTTTTTCTTTCTTCAAAAAATGACTTCGGCTTCCAGTTGGACCCAGCCTCCAGGAGTTACCAGGTAGAGTCCTGGAAAGTAAAGGCAGCCGACGTGATGTTGACCACTCACAAACTAAGTACCAATTGAACTTTAGAATATGCGTCCAGCCCTATGTGCCCAATAGCCTGAAAACGTGAAAAAGGTTTCTTTATGACCTCAGTTTTTTTGTTTATATAATCCTATGACTCTTTTCTGTCATGTAATCTCGTCTCATTAGTTCTTACCTTTATAATGTTATCTAAATGCTCTCATTTAAGTAATATTATCAATATGTTTATAATTGTATCTGTCGGCTCTTACATAAGTAATGTTATCAATATGCTTATAACTGTATATCTGTCTCTTTATAATTTTATTAATACGCACACTTCTCTTCTTCGTCTTCTTCTTCTTCTTCTTCACTTCCTCTTTTACCGCTGTGGGTGTCGAGGGAGATATAAGGTTCTGTTTCTAGCTCTTCTGGTTGCCTCGACCATAGGCACATCGTGCTGTTGTAGAGTTTCTCTGATGTTACCCTTCCATCTTGTTCTTGGTCTACCCCGTGCTCTACGTCCTTCTTCTCTTTCCATGTATGCTTTGTATGGTATGGTGTCACAAGGCATTCTCTCTAAGTGGGCAAACCATTTCACTTGCTGTCTTTGTATGTAATCCAGAACTGGTTCTGTGCCGACTTGTTCTCTTATGATCTCATTCCTGATCTTATCTCTAATGGTCACTCCTACAGCCCTAATACGCCCACTTACATATAATATTGTCTACATATTCACACCTTTTTGTCGCTGTCTGTATTTTCTCACATATCAATCTTATCTCTGTATATGTTGTACACACGCACATATACACATAACTTTACATTATCACTCTGTTCCTACATTATAATTGTAACTATACGTTCTTATGTAATAAATGTATCTATAATGTGACAACATTATCTCTGTGTTCCTACGTTATGATCTTATCTATGCATATTGAATCTTATCCCTCTCTGTGGGGCTTCACAATAGCAACAAATTAGTCCTACATGGAAACGAGAATTAGGTCAACCTAGCACGCACGCACGCACGCACGCACACATTATATACACACGCATCACAAATCCTTTCTTTCTTTATAAATGAAGTATTAACTCTTCCCAAATCGTGACCAATACACGGTTAAATTTTAATTTCCCATTATGAATACAATGTTTAATTTAACACTCACATTAGTGGCCAAGCCTTTTGTGCATTTCTTCATTTCTTTCGATAATCAGTCAAAGTAAACTTTCGCTGGAGTTATACCTCTTTGAATATTTTACAGTTATTTCCATTGAATAGGTAATTCCTTTTTTTTTTTTTTTTTTTGGTTATCTTGCGGATCGGCAGGTCTTGGGTTTAGGTTCTGACGGAGCCAAACCGTTTTCAAAAATGACCTTGACTCCCAGGTTGACCCAGTCTTAAGTGGGTACCAGGTGCAGTCCTGGGAAGTGATGGCGGCCGGCGTGGAACATCACCCACTAAGTGCCGATTGGTCTACAAAAAATATACATCTAGCCCTATATTCCAGGCGGTCAGCGTGATGCTGACCACATCACTCATCTTGTGCCGATTGGTCTTTAAACATAATGGTCTAGCCCTATATGCCCTATACACCAAATGGCGTGGAAAAGGATCCTTTACTTTTACTTTTCTACATTCCCGATACGCCTAAGGAGTGGAAAAGGGACATTTTCTTTACTATTATCTTGCTTGAAATCGCCTATCTATATGTGTCTGAGACAATACATCCATACATGTGTCTGTCTCCCAATACTGGTTTAGTCGCCTGTGATGCATCATGACTAAAATCTGTGGCAGACAAAGTGGAGACATTAATTAGATAGAAGATGAGATACACACACACACACGTACGCACGCACGCACGCACACACACACACGCACACATGTTGTCTGCCTCTCTGCCTGTCTGTAAAGAAGGTGCAACACTAAGTGTATCTTTCTATGCTTGCAGGGTGTGCCTACGTCATGTCTTTCAAAGTCCTCTCGCAGATGGTGGAGACGGCGCCTCACCTGCACATAATCTCGGTAGAGGATGTCTTCATGACCGGCATCCTGCGACACGTCATCGGCTTCCAGATGGTTAACATGCGCAGAGCGTTCACCCACTTCACAGACAAGGCCTGGCACCAGTGCCAGCTGTTTTACGACTCCAAAATCGTGGGCATGAACAAGGACGGACTCAGACACAAACTGATCTGGGAGTTGTTCTTCCAGAGTTCTTGTAGCTGGAATACTTCAACAGTAGCATCATAGACAAGATCTAGGAGTCGTTCTTCCAGAGTTCTTGTAGCTGGAATACTTCAACAGTAACACCATAGACACAAACTGATCTGGGAGTCGTTCTTCCAGAGTTCTTGTAGCTGGAATACTTCAACAGTAATACCATAGACAGAAGCTGATCTGGAAGTTGTTCTTTCAGAGTTCTTGTAGCTGGAATACTTCAACAGTAACACCATAGACACAAACTGATCTCGGAGTCGTTCTTCCAGAGTTCTTGTAGCTGGAATACATCTTCAATAGTAGCATTATAGATAGGATCTGGGAGCCGTTCTTCCAGAGTTCTTGCCACTATAGACAAACCATCAACAGTAGCATCATTTGTAGGCGTGTGTGTGTGTATGTACTTACGTATGTATGCAGGCATGTGTGCCTTTGTCTTTATGTGGGTAGATAGGGGGTAGTAAGGTATATGTGCGTGCATTTATGTGACTACAGATCTGTGTATGCACACGAACGTTTGTTGAACTTTTTGAGTGCCAAACAACGTTTCCGAATTATTGAATAATTAAAGTCTTTTTTTTTTTTTTTGCTGTTTTCTTTGTCGACGGGATTCTCGCTGTTTTCTATGTCAGAGGAGATTATCGCTGTTAGCTATATGAGAGGGGATTATCGCTGTTAGCTATATCAGAGGGGATTATCGCTGTTAGCTATATCAGAGGGGATTATCGCTGTTAGCTATATCAGACAGGATTATCGCTGTTAGCTATATCAGAGGGGATTATCGCTGTTAGCTATATCAGACAGGATTATCGCTGTTAGCTATATCAGAGGGGATTATCGCTGTTAGCTATATCAGAGGGGATTATCGCTGTTAGCTATATCAGAGGGGATTATCGCTGTTAGCTATATCAGAGGGGATTCTCACTGTTAGCTATATCAGACAGGATTCTCACTGTTAGCTATATCAGACAGGATTCTCACTGTTAGCTATATCAGACAGGATTCTCACTGTTAGCTATATCAAAAGGGATTATCGCTGTTAGCTATATCAGAGGGGATTATCGCTGTTAGCTATATCAGACAGGATGATCGCTGTTAGCTATATATCAGAGGGGATTATCGCTGTTAGCTATATCAGACAGGATTATCGCTGTTAGCTATATCAGAGGGGATTATCGCTGTTAGCTATATCAGACAGGATTATAGCTGTTAGCTATATCAGAGGGGATTATCGCTGTTAGCTATATCAGACAGGATTATCGCTGTTAGCTATATCAGAGGGGATTATCGCTGTTAGCTATATCAGAGGGGATTATCGCTGTTAGCTATATCAGAGGGGATTATCGCTGTTAGCTATATCAGAGGGGATTCTCACTGTTAGCTATATCAGACAGGATTCTCACTGTTAGCTATATGACAGGATTCTCACTGTTAGCTATATCAGACAGGATTCTCACTGTTAGCTATATCAGAAGGGATTATCGCTGTTAGCTATATCAGAGGGGATTATCGCTGTTAGCTATAACAGAGGGGATTCTCGCTGTTAGCTATATCAGAGGGGATTATCGCTGTTTTCTATGTCAGATGGGATTTTCGCTGTTAGCTATGTGAGATGGGATTTTCGCTGTTAGCTATGCGAGTCGGAATTCTCGCTGTTAGCTATGTGAGTCGGAATTCTCGCTGTTAGCTATGTGAGTCGGAATTCTCGCTGTTAGCTATGTGAGACGGGATTCTCGCTGTTAGCTATGTGAGACGGAATTCTCGCTGTTAGCTATATCAGAGGGGATTATCGCTGTTTTCTATGTCAGATGGGATTCTCGCTGTTAGCTATGTGAGACGGGATTCTCGCTGTTAGCTATGTTAGTCGGAATTCTCGCTGTTTTCTATGTTAAACGGAGTTCTTACTGTTATCTATGTCAGGATGAATTATTGCAGTCTTGTACGTCAGACAAGATTATTGCTGTTATTTGTGTCAGACGGGATCTTTGTTAGACGGATACCATGTTTACTGTTTGTATCCGACTGTTTAATTTGTCTACTTCTGTCTCAAAGCGTTTATGTTGATATGATTCAGATCTAGGTGTTTATTGCATTCAAGGAGATCAGTGTGTGATACAAGAAATGAATTTAATGACGTCCTGTGATTGAAATAGTCCAGGGACATGTCTTTCATTTGTAGATAATCTTTTCTTTCTGAAAGTTGCTAGGATTCGACACGACTAATTGTAAGATATATGATGTTTGCTTAGGGATGGTGGTCTAAACATGTTATAAGTAAGGAGTGCAAGTTGTAAACATCGATCAGTTAGTAATTCTTTGATTCTGAAATACCAGCTGACTGACTATTTATTCCTTTGTGGGCTGCTACATAGACGAACGAGGCTGCAGACTTAAACAAATGCATGCTGGACGGCAATCCA